AAAGAATGCAACGATCTATAACTTTACTCATATGTACATTCTAACAGCGAAAGACAGAATCCCAAAGAAAATTCCAGAAAATCACATCATATGAATTTATAAAAAATTGATAACCATCTGATGAGGAAAAATAAGCATTCTTTGTAAGTGGGCAAACCTGCAAAATCAGCAAGGGCTCAAATACTTATTTCCCACACTGTACGTGTTTTCATTATACACAAGGACACATGACAGAAATATTACAAATGTTTAGGTGGCTTTCCAAAGGTTCTTAGGACAATAGAGATATTTGGTTTAGAGGTATTTTGGGGCTTCTAGAACACTCTAGTACGCTCAGAAAAATGAGGACATGAAAAGTGTCCTCAAATTTCTACGCGTCCTGATATTGAAGATGTGTATTCACAAAATTGTCCTGATATATCATGAAAACAAACCGAGCTTACACACACACACACACACACACAGACACAGACAGCCTAATCCTCCGATTTAGAACGTGACAAAATCCGCCTGCCGTCATGTCCCACACAACAAACTCATCCAGATTTATTTTACATTAAGTCATATCCTGAGAAAAGGGAGTTATTTCCATGTTGAAGCAAGCCATAGTCGTACCAATAAAATCACCCGATTTACAACTTGCCGAAATCTTTCCGAGGCATTCCTCGTATAGATAAAATCCCCACAGCCAAACACAACATGCAGCCCGTTTCAGAGGCCAGACTCGATCTGGACTCACCAGATGTCCTTGTGAAAAGCATTTTACAAAAAAACAGAGATATTAGTGTGGGTTCTGTTTCCAACTAAAGGCCGTAATCTCCAAATCAAACGGCGAGCGATCTGTTCTCTCCAGATAGATCCAGACGCTCGTGGCCACACACACACACACACACACACACACACAGCTTACACACACACACACACACACACACACATAGGCTAGGGCCCGGAGCGGTGCTGGCCCTAGAGCAGGGGTGCTCAATACGTCGATCGCGATCTACCGTTCAATCTCCAAGGTCCTATCGGTAGACGCTATACAAATAAAGTTTTGTTGTTTTGAATAAAAACTAGACATAAGCCTATCACCCATCCCGTCACTTGATTGATACACAGGACAACCAGTCAGATGACGTCTGATTTTTTCTGTACAATTCGGTCACTGTGCGCGGCTAAGCTAACAAGCTAGTCGTTAGCTACATCCTCATTTTTCGCTCGTTTTTTTCCTCTTAAACGTAAGATAGGTTATGAAAATGAGCGGGGGAGCTGGACCAAGTAAGAGGAAAAAAACGTATCGCTTTCATACGGAATGGGAGGAGGACTTTTTTTTCACATATGTGGTTATACATAGACATAAGTTGTAAGAATCCTCGATATATTTCTTAATAAATATAATGGGTAGATCATTTTTGATTTGGTCATTTCAAAAGTAGCTCCCATCGTGAAAAGTGTGAGCACCCCTGGTCTAGAGAATCACTCATCTTTCGTTTGAGTTTAGACATTCAACTGTAGAGCCTCAGTGTAACCGCGAGGCAAAGAGAAGTCCGTCCCATCGCGCTTTGCTTTCCTCTAAAAGCGTTAAAAAGGCCCCCGACGATCAGAGAAACGCACAGTCTGCTTCCAGGCTTTCTGAAAAACCAGGCCAGTGATCAAAATCCCAGGCTTTCCTTACTAGAAACGGAAGAAAAAGACAATATTATTAGTGTTTTCCCGGAATAACATCAGCAGCATAAGCTTTACGTTAGCATGATTTAGCCATTTAGTTGGAGAAAAAACCTCAGCCCATTGAATCTTTTTTTTTTTAGTACATATATATATAAATATATGTATGTATCTTTTTGTTATTCACAGTCAAATCTGAATCCAAGAATGTGAAACAAGCTGTGAGATCGATCTGAGAAGCAGGAGAAGCCATTGAACATGCTTAATTGTTGCCTTTCTTTGTTTACGCCTCCTGCTTGCCGTAGACAGGATGCTCCTAGCCCTCTTTAATGTGTTGCATTCGGGGGTGGGGGGGCGGGGGGTGCAGCCGAACGCGTGTTTATTTGTGTAAATACAGTATTTAAATATTGTACAGATTTGTAGCATCGTTTGCAGCAGCTTTGGAAACGGAGCGTTTGGAGGTTTGCGTGCGTGTGTCTTCACATGAACATTTCCTGGCTTTTTTTGTCGTTTTTTGGTTTGTTTTTGGTTTGTTTTTCTCACCAGCCATGTGTGTCAGGGCCCGGGAAGGCTGCCGTGTGTGGTTCTGTTCTTCGTATTTGTTTGCAATCTCTAAAGAAACTTGAATACCTCCATCCTCAGACCTGCCGTCATGTCCCACACAACAAACTCATCGAGATTTATTCTACATTAAGTCATATCCTGAGAAAAAAGGAGTTATTTCCATGTTGAAGCAAGCCATAGTCGTACCAGTAAAATCACCCGATTTAGAACTTGCGGAAATCTTTCCGAGGCATTCCTCTTATAGATAAAATCCCCACAGCCAAACACAACATGCAGCCCAAAAAAAAGAAAGATATTAGTGTGGGTGAGCGATCTGTTCTCTCCAGATAAGAACCCACTTCTTACCAGCTTTTTTAACAAGGTGAAAACCACCTTCAGTAGGCCTGAAGTAATCCAAATACCTGTTATCTAGTGAAAACATGTCCAGTCTTCTAAAGTAAAGACGTTTCCTGGACAAAGGAGGGTCCAGAGTAGGGTCCTCATCTCGCTCTCTCATAGTCTGAAAGAAGGGGCCGTGTTGCGTTTAGTGACTGCTGGGATTTTAGCAATTTGCAAACAATATGACCAATGAGGACTAGTTCTTTCATGTGTATCATCTCTACTACTCCGAGACAACAACTTTCTAATGAAGTAAACACTGTGTGGAAATTTTTTTTCTCTCAAGTGTGTGAACCGATTCCTGGGTAAGACTGAATTAATTGGATTTCAGGCCAAAACGTTGCCCTTAAAATGAGTGAAAAGCTCGTCTTTTGAGTTACAGGGGATGAATTCCCTTTAAGGCAAATCCTTTAAGAGGGACATTGCATGCTGTTGACCGTCACTATAAAGATTTTAGCTGTGAAAGTGACAGATTATAGTCAAATCTGACTCAAATAAAGTCTTCCCAGCTAACGGAGGACGATACACATAGAGTGTTGCTATAGTGATGGACGGTATGCAAAGAAATGAACAAAATGCGCAGTTGAATGGTAGTTATTCCTTTTGCCAAATGAAAAGTAATCTCCAGTTGGTTTGCTCTGTAACTCTTTGACTTAGAGTGTATAAAGTATATGATTAAAAGATGTTTGCTACTGAGCTTGTTTGGCTGAAGGAGGAGATTCGAATTAGACGTTTAAGGTATTAATCAGCAGACCAGATATTTTAACTTGAACTTTTGTCTGAACTGGAGCTCGTCTCGCTTTTTCTCGATCGCTGTACAAAGCTGCACAGGCCTCAGTGCTCTCTCATCTATCTGCAATGCACGTTTTGCACGTTATCTCACGCGAATGGCTCCACGACGACCCGGTTACGATCACCGATGCACAAACGTAGAGGCTCAACAGCCGCCAAACAGATCTAGGGGACGTCCTTAGTCCCATTTGAAGCACTTCACATACTTTACCGGTAACTTACCCGGTGGATCGATATTTCTGTGGCAGGACTTAATACCGCCATGCTTCTGTAGGCTCTTTGGTTAGATAAGCTCTCTGTATTTTGTGGAAACTTGAGCATTAGGTGCTCCGCGGGGTACTCTTCTGTAGCAGCTTAATGCCTGTAGCTATGAAGAAACGATATGAGGTCATTGGTCAATCAGTCCAAATATGGAATCGCTGGGTGGAGATGAACACTATATACAAGTTCTTTTGTTTTCTTTCTTTTTTTTTTTGCTAATGCAAAACTGTTTTTTGTTTGTTTGTTATGTTTTTTTAGCTTGAGTTACTTATTTGTTCTCTTGCAGTTCTCACAGTATTGTGTGTAATTTGATCAATGCCATGTATTTACTGTCAGAATGTCACCAATAAAACGTACCTGTATTTCAACTCCTTCCTTCGTTTTCTATTCGGTTCGTTTATCATTTTGCACACGCACATCTTATCCCAGCCTAATCTCACAATCTGCCGAGGAACCTAGTGCCATGGTAGGAATATTTGGATTCACCAGCTTTTATTTCTCAAAGATATTGTCCTATGTCAATTCAATTCAATTCAATGTTATTTATATAGCGCCACATCACAACAACAGTTGTCTCACAGCTTTCCAAACAGAACAGGTCAGACCCTACTCTGAAGTTAGTTACAGAAACCCAACAATTCCCACCATGAGCAAGCACTAGGCGACACAGGCAAGGAAAAACTTCCTTTAACAGGCAGAAACCTCGAGCACCTATGTCACCTTAATGTGGAGCCAGAAGAGTCACCTCTTCTTTTTTTGATTTCAAGTTGCTCCTCAGAGCTCTGATGAACGACATGTTAGAGTTCATGGTTTGTTGGCAATCTTTGCCTCCAGATAGACCATCACATGATGTACCCAAGACCAGAAGAGGAACGGCCATAGTTTTTAACACTAGCAGTCTTTAACGGCAGTTTGCTAATAAACTTCCCTCAGTGTCTGTCACGTCTGGGGGAATGTCTGGTGTGTTGTCATGTGTTGATTACCTATTGTGTACACCTGGGGTTCCCCTCCCTCATGTGTTTAAATAGTCCTCGTTTCCCATGTCCTGTGCCAGTGTGTTTTCGTCTTTCTTCGTTCTGTTCTCGTCACCCCTGGTTTGATTTTGTCACAGCCATGCCATAGCCTAGTTTACTTTATCGCCATAGCCTTTGTTTTTGCCACAGCCATGTTCATCTTGATTTGATACTTTGTTCATAGTTTTGTCACAGCCATGTTTTGTCACAGCCACGTTTTTCCAGAGTCCTGTTAACCTTGTTTGTACTTTTGCCATAGTCTTGTTTTGATCCTTTGCCAGAGTTTTGTTAACCTTGCTTTGTTACTTTGCTCATAGTTTTGCCAACCCTGTTTTGATCCATGTCTGCCACCCACTCCTTTTGAGGGCCTTTTTGTTCCAATAAAACCCTTGTTTCTGCATCTCCGCGACTGAGTCCTCCCTCAAGATCCACTTCCGTGACAGTGTCCACAGAAGAGGCACAGAGCCATAATTGATGGGAGATATTCTTAGCAGATCATCTTAAAATGGAGTCTGGCCTTTATGCATCTCAAGGCATGGCAGATGTAAAATAAGTCATTTCCCTGTGGGCACAGTGGGCAGACTGGGAGAAAGAACTGGAGCATGAAGTCAGACTGGCTGTACTCTCAAAGCCAGTTCAGACAAATGAGCTCTGAGACGCTTTGGCTTCTGCTAGTAGAAGCCAAAGCCTCCAGATTTTCCCACTTTTTCTCTAAAAGGAGCCGGGAGGGTAGCTTTGTCCCTGATCAACAAACGGGCTGGTTTCTAACCGCCACACGTATTCAGTTTTCACTCAAAAACCGAAACAAAAAGTCTTTTTTCACACATTTTAATATATGTGTCTCATCATCTAACCATCATCATGAAAATCTTTGCAATCCTAATAAAAGGTAGAGGAGCCTGTGTTTTTTAAGAGACAGACCTGGTCACTATGGTAACTGATGGATAAAAATGTAAATCATCAAGCTGAAGGAATTTAGCTGCCGACTCCCTGATTTAGACGCTGGTTCAGGGGTTTCCCCGTTTCCAGAAGGTTCCACGTGATGTTCCCCGTTATTTGAAACAGTGCACGGAGCCGTTTTAAAGTCCAGAATCCACCGGATCTGAAACGGAGAGACCCCAGTTTCAGAAAGGCAACACTGCCACCAAGTGGGTCGAGCAAAGAATGGGACGCAGACCCTTTAAAACACACAGGGATCCATGTTCAAACCTCTGTGAGGTAACACAAACACTCATTACTTCCTTTCATTTTCACAGAAATATGTATTCTTTGGCACGATTGAATGCCTATTGTGTATTTAGTATGAGTGTAATTGTACTAAAAAGAAGTCAATCATTGCTCGTGGATATGAGGAGCAAATTTTAGAGTTCAGAAGTAACTTCAGGCTGAACAATAAGTTCATTTTTTGCCAGATAAACATGACTGCTGTTTGTTAAATGAAAACTGTGGCGCTGACGTCCTCCCTCTCTCCTTTTTGGTCGCCCAGGTTTGGCTCCAAGAAGCTACAAAGGAAACGGACACAAAAACTCCCATTTGTAGGTTACAAAAACTCCCATCCAGGAATCGTTCTCCATTAAAGGCTTTTTTTTTTCCTTTAACGCGCCCCCTCGAACACCCCCGTGAGTGATTCACGCTGCCAGAGTATGAAGCTAAACACAGGCACTTATTCAGTGACCAGAATACATTTAGGCATTGAGTGTATTATTCTTACGGGAGTGGAGATGGAGAGCCACTCGACCCTTCCTGGGGCGAGGTTGTTTTTAGCTAGGATGTGTGTGTGTGTGTGTGTGTGTGTGTGTGTGTGAGTCGGGGTCAGGCCGAGGGGACGGGGCGAGAGGCCCGGATAGGTGCGGCCATTTTCCCTCAAATGGCTGTGAAGGGGAGCTGTTGCTACGGCAATCGGAGGGGAACCGAACTCTCCAAGTGGCCCTTTAGCCGCCCTCCCACAGACGCGCTCTCTTTCAGCTAATGGCTCGGGTTCAGAGCGCCACGGCTAACCAATGAAATCATGGGACGCTAACGGGGGAGCTTGACACACTTTGCGCCTCCGGGGTTGGAAACGGACGGAACGGAGGCTCGTCAAAATTTGTTTGTTTGAATTGAATATTTGTCTAACCTCCTTGAGTGTGCAGGTGTAAAGGTATGCCTGGCCACTTAACACACCGCTACGCTCCAAAGCGCACACACACGCTAACGCAGGCCGCATGAGGGAGATCTGGGGACCGTTTTACTCTGCTGGTTCAATTCAGTTCAATTCAATTTTATTTATATAGCGCCACATCACAACAACAGTTGTCTCACAGCTTTCCAAACAGAGCAGGTCAGACCTACTCTGAAGTTAACTACAGAAACCCAACAATTCCCACCATGAGCAAGCACTAGGCGACACAGGCAAGGAAAAACTTCCTTTTAACAGGCAGAAACCTGGAGCAGAACCATGGCTCAGGTGCTGGTGCTCGTAAAAAACGCGAAAGAGGCATTAAAGAATCATCCTTGAATAGAGAGTGGGCACAGAACAACACACAGATGAGATCTGTGTGTGAATACCACATGACTTCCTGTCTGCAACAGGTGGGAATGCACCTGCACGAGGCCCCTGAAGGCAGCATTTATCCCATCCAGTGCAGTTTATACCGGATCCACACAGGAGGATCTGCATCACATGATTACATTTAGTCACAGGCTATGCTACAGGAACTGCACTTACCGTAACCAGTTCTGAAATTAAGGTTAGTTGTGACATTTTTTTAAACCCTGTAATACCATATTTCTCATTTTTTACACCTTTTGCATAATTTAATTATAAAAAGCTGCTCAAAACCCTGTTGTGTCCAATGAATAATTCCTGACAGCAGCAGGAAGAAGACTATAAAACAACCATTTTGACTTATTACAGAGTAATAAATGATTAACCCTTTAAAGCCCGATCCAAGAATAAAAAAAAACAGAAAAAAACTTTTTTTTTGGTTTGAAGTCTTTATTTGGCCTTTTAACAAAATATGTCAAAAGAAAAAACAGAAATACATTTTTAATATTAATAATTTATTACTATGCGATACGTCAAGATTTTTTTTTGTGCAGTCTTCTGCCCCCTGTTATCAGGTGTATCTGATTGTGTACAATAGGATTTTGAGCAAAGTTTTTACCATTAAATGACGCAAAAGGTGTCAGAGGCAAAACATTTCAGAAACCGTATGTATTAAATATGATATATTTGGCATTACAGGGTTAATATCCAAAAATGGTTTCTGTTAGTTTTTTTCATATTTTGTTAAAGGCCCTTCAGACTAAAAAATAAAGTAATTTTTTCTCAATTTTTGCTTGGATCAGGCTTTTAAGGGTTAAAATATCACACTTCTGCAATCCAATTTGACCCCAACTGTCTTTATTCTGGTAGATGCTGCTCCAAAGAAATGGAAAAAAAAGTGCAAAGAAATATTTTTCCTCCTTTTTTCTCCGTGTAGACATTTAAAGGTTCAACCAACAAATTTTAGTACCTCACCTGACAATTGGTGCTCGTATATCTTGTGATTATAAAAGATATTTAAGACAAATAGATTTTTTGACCTGTGTAATAAAGTTTTGTTTGCAGCCAGATCCTGATGAGTGTTTCAGGGGTCATATTTGTTGTGTAAGCATTCCTCGGGGGCTTTTTTTTCTCTCTCTCTCCCTCCGCCACCTACATCTGTACCTCACTAATTCATGACCTGTCTGTAAATGCTTTGTTAGCAACAATGCCACCCCCAAAGCTACGGGCTTAAAGATCAGGGAAAAAGCAGCGCTGTCATTCGCAAATTCCCTTTGACGAACACGGATAATTACAGGAATTAGCCCGCTATTTTGTCATTAGCCTTCACTTTCAATGAGTCAATAATGAAAAGAGAAACAAGAGTCGGGGACAAAAGACGGATGTCTTTGGAGAATTTCAAGACACTCTCTTCCCCCTCCCTCTTGGCCCACACATTCAATTTGGTGTTTTATTAATATTATTAATGTAGTCAAGCTTGAAGCTTTGAAGCCGGGAGTTTTTCTTCTGATTGGTATTGTGCGAGCGCTGATGGCTCAGCTCAGGGGAAGTCAGAGTGATTTCAAACGCACTTTGTTAGCGCCATGATGAAAATGGCAGCTCGCCTTTTCAGCGCCGCGTATTTGCGAGCGTGATTATGGGGTGTGTGTTCAAATAAATGAAGCCAAAACAATGACACACAATCAGGACTTCATAAGCCGGCAAAAGGCCACAGACAGATTAATAAGTGCTTTCAAGACACACACACACTCACACACACACACACACACACACACACATAATGAACATGCAAAAAGACTGAGCGAAACCCAGATATATGTGACACATTACACAAGAATGTGTCCAGAATCACTTTATATCCAAATGAGCAGGAGAAAGCCGAGGCCACACCGTGTAATTTGCTGTTGATTTGTGTACGCACAAATGGAATTTGATGTCTTTCAACATTAGTACGGGTTCTGTTTCCCCTCCCTTTGTCCTGTCAGGGCTCAGCGAGCTTTGTGCGGGGAGACGACTGCTGTTAATCACTGGCTATCCTGATGAATAACACCGAAAAGATGGGATGAGGCGTTGTCAGAGAGGGTTTAATGTCGCCTTCACGCACTGACAAAGACTAAGACGAGTCTAAAACAAGTGCTCAGATTGCATTTAAAATTGGTCTTCCGAATATCAACTATGTCGCGTGTCTTGTTTTTTCTTACTAATTCCAAGTCTTTTTGTTTTTAAAAACATATTCTGTCGGGTTGTGGTTGAGCAAACAACCTTTTTGGGTTGTTGTTTGTTTGTTGTTGTTGTTTTTTTGTTGTTATCCCACAGTAATACAGTTGAACCGCCTGTTGTTCCCTTTTGGTCCCATCTTAACTGACGCTTACGCTGATTTTTGCCCCTCCATTTTCTTTTTTTTTGTTTTGTCTTGGTCCCCAAAAACTGGTCGCTCGGCCTAAGATACATCATGGACTCTGCTCGTCCATTTGAACGGGAAAAAAATATTCAAATTAAAAATGATTGCACTAAAACGGAAGTTGTTCCTTGCCTGTGTCGCCTAGTGCTTGCTCATGGTGGGAATTGTTGGGTTTCGGTGATTAACTTCAGAGTAGGGTCTGAAAAAAATATTCAAATTAAAAACAACTGTTGTTGTGATGTGGCGCTATAGAAATAAAATTGAATTGAAATTGAAACTGAAACTGAAAATACAAACATTGTAAATTTACTTTGACAATCCTTTTTTTTTAATGATGCCACAGTTATATCATTATTTTTTTCAAAAATGTGTTTTGCATCCCAGTTTAAAAGGCAGAACACAGACTTAGAACTGCCTTTTTGTGACACTGGACTATAAAATAGGACTGATTTTTGTCCCCACTGGTGTCCTTAGAGCAACTTTTCATCTTGCATTTCACATTTCCCTTTTTTTGCCTTTTTAGACTACTCTGACTGAGTTATGTTTGGTCTTTCTGTGGTCCTCTTTTCATTTCCATGGGTTTTATTCTCAGTTGGCCAGGTTTACCTGTCAGGGGAGGTAATTCTGTTTATTTTGGCTATTCACGGTGCTTTTCTGAGCATTTTTCGTCTTTCAGAGAGCCTTCCCAGTCACCTGCACAGCAGAGCTGGTTTTCAATTCTTTTTTTGCCTTTTTCATCTGTTGGCCTGCTTTTTTTTTGCTGTCATTCTTATTTACTGGGTGTTTTTCCCACAGAGATTTTAGTTTTTTTTGCCTTTTTCATCTGTTGACCTGCTTTTTTTGCTGTCATTTTTATTTACTGGGTGTTTTTCTCAAAGAGATTTTAGTTTTTTTTGCCTGTGTTTCATCCAGTGTTTTTTGGACTGTTGCTTTTTTAGAATTCCTCTTTTTTTTACCCTTCTTTTGCACAGCAAATGGTCCTCTTATTAAAGTTATGACTTTTTTGTCTGAGTTCCTACAAGTGGATCCAGCTTCTGAATTTGTTGGTGAACATTGTAGGTAAATAAAGTATTTATCTGTGAGCCCTACATGAATTTAAAACCCTTACATTTTCTTCTTTGACTCTGCAATTGGTCTGCAGGTCTTAATTCTTTCATTGTGACAGTAGTAACTCACAACTTGAACAACAACCCTTCGGATATAAAACAACCTTTGAGTTTATCGTAATTCCTTTATTAAAACACACAGCTTTTTTATTTTTTTTGTGGTTGCTTAAACTGGGCATGGAAGCACAGACTGGATCTCATTCTCAGCTACCTTCTCTGTTCCACAGAAGAGGAATCTGTCAATGAAGGAAAGGACATTAAAAATAAGGGAGAAAATGAATTCAGACTCTGACAAAGAAAAGTTTAGATTTGGACACATGTTTCTGAAAAGCTTTGCTGACTCAGCTAGTTCTATTTCCTTAGTAAAGTGACAAACACTGTTAAAATTGCCTGTTCACCGATTATGAAACAGGTATGGAATAATTATGAGCCCAACCCTTATATATCTTTATTAATAAATGTACCGGAGCGTGACATTTGGTTTCTATGGCATCACAAATACAAATTCTCTAAAATGAAACCCCCTCTTCAACCCAAAGGTCCAGGTTCCAGTAGGGGGCACAGTCCCATGCTGCCCTCATGTGGTCCCGGCTGAAAAGTGACTACAGAAATATAACCCACTCCTTCTCAGTGTTTCATCAGTTTTGGCTGAAAACTTTGTCATGATATGTGGAATTACTTGTGATTGGGGGATAATTACAAAGTGGAATGATTTAAAAACCTCACCAAACATAAATAATGTTGGATTTCAATTTCAGTTTGTCTTTTTTTGTGTTATTTTATTGAATCCAAGGGCCTTCTTCATTATTTTCTTTATGAGACCCCTAAGAGGTGTGTTTGTAGCGACCCACTCAGTGAACAAAAAGAGCGGATTTTTAACAATTTGCATCTCCAATGATGCTTTGGATCCCCGTTCAGCATTTCAAGTAATTTACCAAAGCACCAACATCAACTCCTAAAATGTTCTACGCAGTGGACACTTTCTTTTTTTTCTGTTTGGGGCAATTTGTTTGTCATGATACTTCTGTTTGACTATGACCAAAAGGCAGTCGCAGTCCTTTATTCCGCTCTCAAAATTTGTTTTGTCAACTAATTATTCTCATGTCCAGGGTAATTTAACACATTGGTTTGAATATTACAAGAAAATCCATTTACTTTTAACCGCTAATCCCCCAAAAAACAAGTCAAAGCTCACTCTAAACCAAATAACAACTGATTAGTTCATATTTCTAACTGAAACCTGCCAACATAAGTATGAATATGTTGCCCTGAAATACAAACTTTGCTCATTCAAGCTCTTTTTTTTCGCATAAATATTGTCGTATTTATGTCCTCAATCAAAATAATCAACATGTGAGTGAATCTTTCCACACAAGAGTCAAACCAGATCTAACATTCAGCAACTTTTTCTACTGGATGGCTCATTATAGCATTGAAAATAAGGTTTCTTATCAAGGAAACAGCTAATTTAGTCTATCTTATCTGGAATATCTAATGTGGAATCAACTGCTCTCATGCACAAGCCACATTTAGTACAATAACCCTTTCAAACTCTTTGAGACTGTTTGGGGAACATTTGATATTTTAGTGGTCAGTTAGAACCAAATCTCGATGAAGTTCCACAGACTTACACCTGGTGGTCTTTTCCTCTGAGCAGATCCACGTGCATGGCGCCGTACTTTGGGCTCAGCGGGTTGATGATGTGGTTGTTCCACCGAAACCTGACCTCCGTCACCTCACCAGCGTCCAGCTCAGAGTCAACCAGCACCTCGTACTTCCTTCCAGGAACCAAGGAACCCCTGGAGAACACCAGTGGTCAGAGAGCTCCGATAGCATTTAGTATGCGAACTGAATCCCCTTGAAATGACTCTAAAAGCAGAAAAACTCCACTTAAATGGGAGCCATTTCAAAATAATCACTACATGGTCAATCCTTCTGCAGTGGAAACGAATGATAAGTTCATATCTAACTGAATAACTGTGTAATTTGGGCTGCTTGGTGGTTAGCACCATGGCCTCACAACCAGAGGGTTCTGGGTTAGAGTCCCGGGGGAACCGGGACCAGAGGGTTCTGGGTTGGAGTCCCGGGGGAACCGGGACCAGAGGGTTCTGGGTTGGAGTCCCCGGGGGAACCAGGACCAGAGGGTTCTGGGTTGGAGTCCCGGGGGAACCAGGACCAGAGGGTTCTGGGTTGGAGTCCCCGGGGGAACCAGGACCAGAGGGTTCTGGGTTGGAGTCCCGGGGGAACCAGGACCTTTCTGGGTGGAGTCTGCATGTTCTCCTGTGTCTGTGGGTTCTCTCCGGGTTCTCCGGCTTCCTCCCACCGTCCAAAAACCTGCATGTTAGGTTGTTGGACTCCAAACTGCCCTTAGTGTGAGTGTGTGTGGTTGTGGGTCCTTGTGTGTCTCTGTGTGTCCCTGTGATGGACTGGGGACCGTCCAGGGGAACCACGCCTCTCCCCATTGGCTACTGGGATAGGCTTCCCCGAGCCCATTAGGGAATAAGAGGTTACTGTAATGGAAGAATGGTTCTTTGGTTCTTACACGTGAAGCTGGAACTCTTTGGTTCTGTCCTTTTTACCGGCAAACGCCACGAACATGTAGCCCAGGTTGGGCCAGCGGGAACCGGTCAGCAGAACCGTGGCTTTGAAGCTGTAGCCTGGAAAAGCAAAAGGAACCGTGAGAAAAGTCTGTGCCGTCGAAAACGAGCAAGTCAAGTCAAGTCAAGTCAAACTTTATTTATAGAGCACATTTAAAATAACCAAAGTTGCCAAAGTGCTGTTGATAAAAAGCATGTATATGTGATTTTAATGTAAAAACAAATAAATAAATAAAAAGGTAAAAAGGTGCTCTACCTCAACCTAAGGTTAAAATGTTAAAAGCCATGTCGAATAAATGGGTTTTTAAAGAGGACTTGAACACCTCTAGGGTCTGGGCTAATCTTATATTAAAAGGAAAGCTATTCCAGAAAATTTGGGGCCACACTAAAGGCTTGATCGCCTTTAGTCCTCAGATCTCAACTCATTTCAGGTGAAAATAATATTTTCCTTTTGGTTTTGACAGCCTTGTGACCAGGCTGAAATCCTCAAAGATAAGTAAAAACAGTCAATAAAAGCTGTACTTTTATGTCCACAGTGTGTGGTAGCCATCTTGCACTTTTACTTTGAGTAGTGGTAATTCTGTTGATTTGTTCATTATGAATTTGTTTACATTAGTGATAGTTTCATATTTTGGTCATATTCTTTTTGTAATTCGTCTAGTTAATTGCTTTGCTTTATGTTTAGTCTTTATTTGGTAAATGTATTGATTGTAGTATTTGGTTTTAGACACCTGGGGGTAGTGGTGTGCACAGGTAAGGGTGGATATATATATATATATATATATATATATATATATATATATATATATAATGGCACACACCTGTATGCACCTGGGTAGTGGACACATGGTTTTTTTACCAGCGCATGAGATTTGTTTGCTCACCTGAAACAGCAATAAACCAACCTAAAGGACAATTCTGCGTGGAACTTAAATCATTTTCTTGCCTGCGTACGATACCTGCCCAGGGTGCCAGAAGTTGCCGTTTGTTTTATTTTAAGTTTGATTTAATTTTCGTTAAAAGTTTGTTTGACAAACGGCTACTACACTGATGGAAAATGTGTAACCACTATGGTTGTCACGATACTAAAATTTTCAACTGGATACCGATACTCAGGAAAATATTCGATACTCGATACCATTTTCGATACTACAAGGATAAAAACAAAGACCCTAAAATTTAACTGAATTTTGACAGGTTAGTGTCTTTCATTTCAAACTGACCTGTTACTGATGTTATTGTGACTGGTGGCCCAGATTAATAACCATAATCCTAACCCTAACCCTTCATAATTGTGAGAAATAAATATTTTTTGGTTAAACTTGTTTGGACTTATTGTACAAACCAATTTAACATCCACTATTTTAACATAATATTATGGATAGAGTTTAAATCAGTGTTTGAAAGATTAATTTCACTATTTTTAAATTAATGTCTATATTGCCAGGAGGCATTACCATTTTCTTGCCTGGGATCTTCCTTTTGGTGATGTAATCAAAATGGCCGACTTGGATGTGGGCGGAGTTGGATATGTAGTTGATTACGGGTAGTGTGTTATTATTAGCCATTAGCCGCAGCTAGCAGTACATGGCTAACGTCACGTTAATGATTATAAGGAAAATTCTGCGTGGAACAATTTTCTTGCCTGCGTACGATACCTGCCCAGGGTGCCAGAAGTTGCCGTTTGTTTTATTCTAAGTTTGATTTAAGTTTCGTTAAAGTTTTGTTTGACAAACGGCTACTACACAGTGAGACGTAAGTTTTAAGTTTACTGGGACAGTGAGATGTGTTATGTTTGGAAGCCAGGACGAGGTAGAAACTCAAGTAGAAGAACTCTTAACAGCTTTTATTCATAACTTGCTCAGCAGCACAGTAACATTAGCATTCCTTTCCTCCATCTTATCTCTTCTTCTCCTCTCTCATCTACTCTTGTACACCACCTAGTGGTAGACACAACAAGATGTAACAGAGCACTTACGGCCAAAGGGCTCCGACTTGCCCGTGTTGAGGAAGAACTTGGTCTTTGAGAGTCCATCCATCAGACTAAAGCTGTCAGCGCGGTGGCCCATCAGAGGACACCGCCCGCCTGTACAGGGAAAGCACCCCCCCTGTAAAGGTGAAGACCAAACGAGGTGTGAGGAGTGACCTCATCCCGCATCCGAAGCCCACGTCTCCACCGGTCCTTGAAGATCCGGCGAGTTAACCCCGTGACTTTCTCTACCGGCTTAGCAAACACAGGACTGACATTTTGAAGAGCAGCTGAGAAAAATACAGTGGGGGAAGTAAGTGTTTGACCCCTTGCTGTTCACAGTCATGCTAATCTTGCTTTGCTACTTTGTTCATAGTTTTCGTCACAGCCTTGTTTTGAACTTTGTCTGCCATCCACTCCGTTTGAGTGCGTTTTTGGTTCCAATAAACCCCTTGTTTTCACCTACAGTGGGGGAAATAAGTATTTGAGCCCTTGCTGATTTTGCAGGTTTGCCCACTTACAAAGAATGCTTATTTTTCCTCGTCAGATGGTTATCAATTTTTATAAATTCATATGATGTGATTTTCTGGAATTTTCTTTGGGATTCTGTCTCTCACTGTTAGAATGTACATATGATTAAAGTTATAGATCGTTGCATTCTTTGTAAGTGGGCAAACCGGCAAAATCAGCAAGGGGTCAAATACTTATTTCCCCCACTGTATATTATCATCACAAATGATTAATAGTGTGCTTTAACATATATCTAGAGAAGAAGTATATTAACATATATCTAAAAGAAGTGTATAAGGATATAATGTGTGGAAGTGGAAAAAACCATGGTCCAGAAGTCAAACTATACTAAATGCTAAAAGTTATATATCGTTGCATTCTTTGTAAGTGGGCAAACCTGCAAAATCAGCAAGGGCTCAAATACTTATTTCCCCCACTGTACAACAGAACGTTCGCGAAGTGACCGTGGACACATGAGGTCAGTCTTGGCAGCTCCTTTGATCAGGACATGTGTCCGAGGCGGGGATAAACTGTCATTAACGCCGACAGCTGCAGATACAGGCCCAAATCCACGCCCGCTCAGAGCAAAAGAGACGGTTTTCGGCGTATCGGTGTCATACGGCTGCAACAGGTGGCGCCCCCCCCTCCCCATTCTCATGCTGGGCCGGTGGGGATGTGGGCCTCTTTTCATACATACAAGCAGAGATGTATAAAGCAGTGTTTTTCAACCTTTGAGTCAAGGTACAAAAAAATCACGAGGCACACCACCAACCAAAAATGTTAAACAAATATGTAGCCGCCTATAGTAACACTATAGTTATTCTTATCTTAAGTGTCTTGAATAGGAATTAAACACAAAAATGTATTTTTATCATATTTTATATTTCTTATTTCAAATTGCACTTAACATGTCCACTTCAAAATACAAAATTATATACAAAATGTAGTCATAAGGAATTATTACATGATTACGCCACCAGTCACTAGAACAGCACAGACACTCAAAAATGGCATATTATTTGCAGATAATTAATTCAATATCAAAAAATCTTTTTAGACCAATTAGGTGAAATAGGATGATTTTCTACGGCACACCTGACCATCACTAACACCACACTAGTGTACCGAGGACCAGTGGTTGAAAAACACTGGTATAAAGTACTGGAGTAGAGGAGTGGAGTAAAAGTACTATATAAAAAAATGTACTTGAGTAAAAGTAGAAGTATTCTTCAACACCTGACTTAAGTGGAAGTACGGAAGTACTCAGTTTTTTTTGTACTTAAATATTGCAAGTAGAAGTATTTAAAAAATTGCTACTCAAGTATCGAAAGTACAAGTATAAGTAAAAGTACAAGTATTATGTACAGTATATTAAAAAAGGCAGTAAAAAATTTGATAGATATTGTTTACATTATTTCAAACGTGTGAAAGGCCATACAGGTGTTTACAAAAAACAGAAAACTACATCTGCATTAGCAATCAACAGCACTTCATCTACTATTATTTATTATTCCAGTCAGAATCCTGAGCTGAGCCTTTATGCTAGCATGTAGCATACAGCTAGCCAGCTGGGTTAGCTTTAGCTAACGTTATCATACAGCTAGCCAGCTATGTTAGCTTTAGCTAACGTTATCATACAGCTAGCCAGCTAGGTTAGCTTTAGCTAACGTTATCATACAGCTAGCCAGCTAGGTTAGCTTTAGCTAACGTTA